ATATAAGGGGACTTCAAAAAGTTAATGGGAATATGGAATTAAAGTGTGAGTTATTGGACCAGCTGGTGGCGCAGAGCTTAGGGCACTGGATCCCATGAGGTCAGCTGCACAGTTTGGGCCCCGGACAAAGTGGCTTAAAAATCAGGTGGGGCATGTGTATGTGCTGCCCAGAATCCTTAGAGGAGACTGGAAGAGAAGGGATTGCAGCATGGCCATCACCCCTGGGGGGTTACTTCTCACTTTCTCTCTCTCTCTATCTCTTTCTGGTGAGCACATGTGCCTTATGAAAAAAAAAAAGCTAATAATAATAATACTACTAAAACAAATTTATTTTGGTTCAAAATGTTTTTATTCCACATATAGTTTCTTTTATAATACACATTTTCCATGAACTTTAAAATGTTTTATTTTAATGCCAAAGAGTACATGCACATCAAAGAGAGAGGAAGTTCCTCTCCAGTGGTCACGACACATCTCCTCCATCTTCCTTCTGAAAGGACCCTAGGAACGCAGCCTCATGCACCCAGCATGGTTTTCGAGCCACTAGGATTCGAACCTGGGTCAGTCTCGTGGGCTCTGGCTCTCTCCACACAGTACTTAACCACTACACTTTGGGGCTAGCCTTCTTTGAACTTTTTTAAAAGTTTATTTAGTCCATGAGCAAGAGACAAATAGTAGCTCCAGCAGTCTTGACACTGCGATCCACTGAGCCCTCGTCAGCCCAGATGGACATAGGTATGTAGGTATAGCTGTGCCCAGTATTCTCAGGAAGGTCCCCTGGAGTCGACCTGGCAACCTCCCCAGGTAAGTCAACCTTGCAGGGACCCATATTTTTATCATGGTGCTACCATCCGGCTCCTTCCACGAACTTTTTGAAGATCCCGTGTATGACTTAAAAATTACTCTCTTAACCATGGCTCGAGTCCTGGGCCTGGTGGCTTTAAAATACTCATGCCAGGTGCGTGCGTGTGCATGCCCAAGATCCCGAGAGGAGAATGGATTGTGGTGTAACCATTCCCCTGGGAGGTGATTTCTCGTTTCTATCTCTGTCTCTCTGGTGAGTGCACACACTGTATAACAAAAATCTCTTTCAAAAACAAAAACAAACCAAAAAACCAACCAAACAAAAAATATTGCTAGATGGTGCGTGCACTCACGAAAACAAACCAAAAAACCAACCAAACAAAAATCCTTGCTAGATGATGCATGCACTCACGAAGAGAAAGGGAGAGAGAGACCCCCCCACACACAGGAGCTGGTGACACCGCAATCCTCCTCCATCTCCCCCTTTTTGGGATTTTGGGCATATGTACATGCAACTGACATGTTTTTCGGTCACAGGCTATGGGACTCTAACTGAGCAAGCAGCCATGTGGATCCAGCTGTCTTAACCACCATGCCACCAGCGAGTCCTCTTTTCATCTTATCAAACTAACCTTTCGTGCGTACTAAACACTACCTTCCCATTTCTTCTCCAGCTCCTGTCCAGTGCCATTCTACTGTCTGTCTCTGATTTTGACTTCTCTAAGTGCTTGGTCTCCGACAC